GTAAGCGGGTTATCGGGTCTGTGAGGAGGTCGGGAGGGAAGTGGGGAGGGGACGTGGGGAGGCCGGGGGGACCAGGGCGGTGGGTCCTGTGGAGAAGGTGTGTCTGAGCAGGGGCTTGCAGGTGTGCATGCGTGTGTGCACACGTGCGTACCCCAGGGAGAGCTGTGAAGGTGAGCGTGCGAGCACAGAGCAGAGGACACATGCAGGGAGGAAGGACGAAGAGCCTCCTGCCTGCACTAACCACCACCGCCACCACCACTATATTAATCAAACATACATCATTTACTGGGCTTCACCTCTTCCCAGATCGTGCAGGCCCTTCACACGCGTGCTATCATCTAGTCTTCGTACCACCTTGAGGTAAGTATATTATTGTCCCCAGTTTACAAATGGGGAGCCTGAGGCTCGGAGTGACTTGATAATTCACCCGAGGTCACAGGTCTTGGAAGATGCAGAGCTGGGCCCTGAGCCCAGCAAGGTGGCACGCAGTGCATACTGTGATGTGAAAGATGCCCTCTTAGGTTGGGCATGCATGACCTTTACAACTGTCATGGAGAACCCAACCTGGCTGGCTCCAGATCCTAGTTCTGAAGACTGTCCTAAGCTGTCACATGGCCACACCCTCTGAAGAGGGTCCATCCCATTCTACCTTTCTGCCAAGTGATAGCCGGCCGGGGCGCCCCCGAAGTCTCACACGTCAGTACCACTGACATGCCATCGATCACTGTGCTGTCCAAGGGGCCTCTGGTGATATTGGGGGCGATGCCTGCAAACAGAGACAGTGGGGCCTCTTAGCCACACCCTGGGAGGAGCTCCCATAACCAGAGAGCCAGGGGCCCCTGAGCCCACACAGGGGCAGGTTCTCATCCTCCCCTGCTGTTCTGGCTGCTGTGGGTCGCCCTGCAGGGAAGGATGCAGGCACCCCGATGGGGCCCCAGTGTTGGGAAGAAACCTCTCGGGCCCACAAGGGCTCCCTGCACTCCCTGCGACAGGACCCAGGTGACACCAGTCTCCACTCTGCCTTGATTCTCAGGCTTCCGTTTGGGGGAAACCGAGGACCCCAGAGGGCAGCTCACACCCTCCATGACAAGGTAAACACGATTCATCCTTCATTGAACATGAAACTGAAGCTCTCACTTCTTCAAAGAATAAAGTGAGGGCAAATAGAAGACCACTTTCTAGAAGGCTCCGCCTCGGACAGCTCCATTCAGCTGGTTGAGCCGTGATTCCTCAAGCGTCACTACAAGAGTATAACTTCCTTGCTTTGGGTCCCTCTTCCCTAATCCCAGCCCTCAAGGAACGATCTTGTCAGATGGGTATGGGAGCAAGGCAAAATATGGACTAAATTCACCTGTACTTATGAGAAGCGAAAAGCAAGATGGCAGCCCCTTGGAAGCCGCTGCTGGGGTGAACCCAGCTCCCTCTGCCCCGTGGTATCCAGTCTGCTGGCCCCTGTGGGTCTGGAGGACGAACGCTGCTGGGCTCAAGGAGGCCCCTGCACATGTTGTGCTGCTGATACAAGGGGACCGCTAGTACTTTGCACGTGCACAGACCTCTGTCTGCTCAGTACAGTCACTCACGGTATCATCTCTGATGGATGAACCAGCTCCACTAACCAGCAAAGCAGCTATTAGAGTCCATAAAAGAGACCCCAAGATGGGAAAGGGATTTGCACAAGGGGGAACTAAGATGAAGATGCTGATTTTCTCCTTTGGAAGCAAGAGCAGAGAAGACCCTCTTGCCTGGGATGGGGTGGCTCCAGTCCCGCATGGGAACCCAGGGAGAGTCGAGAGGCCAGAGCTGGAACCTGGAGTTTCATAGCTCCTTTTCTCAAAGAGCCAGGGAATCCGTCCTTGGCTCCAGGACATTGGAGGGGATTTCCAGAGGCTGGAGGCTTCCTCTGGACTCAGGGCTGCAGAAGCCGTGGGTGTAACTGGCTAGCGCCACCCAGGCTGCTGGACAAGGGACAGTCTTCTGTGACCCTGTCTCTGCACAGTGGAGCGTTCTGTTCTAAAGAGGCTCTTTGGCTTGGAGGAAAGCTGCACCCTGGGCAGGTGGGGCTTGGGACCAGGACAAGGGAAGGCCCCACTTACTGGTGACGGCCAGGTAGGTGGAGGTTTGCATCTCGCCAGCTGCATTGCGGGCGAAGCACTGGAACATGCCGGTGTCGTCGGGCACCAGCCCGCTGATCTGGAGGTCCCCGTCGCCACGCTGCCGGAAGCGGGTCAGCCTCTCTACCTCCACCAGGGCTGCGTCCTTGTACCAGGTGATGGAGGGTGGTGGTACACCTGTGGGAGAGACCCCACCGTCAGCCCGCCTCCTGCCTCTCCCCCTCACCTCTGAGGGGTGCTCAGGCAGCAGCTGGGGCCGGAAGTCTGCAAGGGGGTCAGTCCCTGATGTGTCTTGGTTTCTAGAACCTTCTCAGAGGTGCCACTTTGGGGTGCGGAGAGGGAGAGGATGTTCTTAGGCAGCAATTCTCAAATTCTTTGGGATGCAGTAGGTGTTTCAAGAAAACGAAAAGGTCCTGGGATCAGTTTAGCTTGGAAATACTGGATTGGACAAACGTTTCATTTTTTACTGTAATATTTAGCAGAGCCTTTGTGTGCTCTGGGAACCTCCAAGTGCAAAATGCTGCCCATATCCACCTGATCACAGCGCCCTGTGTTGAAGAGCATGCAGAGGGGGCTGGTGTTCCTCAGGAGGCACTCAGAAGCACCCCCCACATACACCTGGTCTGCACATGGACGTGAATGGGCCTCCCCCCGACTTCTCAGCCTTGCCAGAGCTCGCTCTCCCCAGAGGTATCCCCCAGCCCTCTCCCGTCTCCCTCCGTGTCTCTGCCCAGAGAAGTTCCCCATGCCCTGTGCACAGGAGCACCCCCCTCCCTCCTGCCCCCCGAGCCTGTCTGCTTTTCCTTCCCAGCACTTTTGCACCCTGACATTACACAACCCTGTATTTCCCCCATTCTTGTCACATTGCACCATCTCTGAGATCAGGATGTGTCTGACAATTGACAGCACGTCATAATTTAACTGGCAGTCTTTTTTCTTTCTTAGTGGTACATAAAATAATGGGGCGTCTTACAACCCATGGCATTTTAGATGAAATGAAATAAGGAACCTTTATTTGTTTATGGGTTTGCCCCACTCCCTCACGAGAATGTAAATTCTGAACTAGCAGGGATTTGGCTGTTTGGTTCCCTTTTTCTCTCCCCAGTCCTGAGAATGACACCGGCACGTGGTAAGCCCATGAAAAATATTTGTCTCGTGAATGAATGGATCTTTGCTTTCCCCTCTTGGGGTCTCAGAAGGGGAGTTGTTATCTATCCCCTTCTGTACGGTCCTCCATCCTGCCAGAGCTACATGGTCCCCTTTTCTCAGTATCAGACCATGTCCCATTGTACACGCTCTTCCCTTTATCAGCCCGGATTTCACCTGGCTGGGCCGTCTTTTGGCTCAGTGGAATTGGAAGGAGGAAGGTGGGATGGGAAAAGTTGAAATTCCTCATGATCTCTGACGAGGGGGGTTAAGTAGGAATAGCAGGTGGAAAAGGAGCAAAATGGCCCAGAAAACAGGCAGAGCTTATGAGACACGCTCAGGCCAGATGCACCCAAGGTCCGCTGGTTCTGATATTACAGTAATTTGGCACTGTCTACAACTCTCGAATTATGGGCAATTTGGGTCTGTCACCTGTCCTGAAATTACGGTAATTTGGGTTCATTTGTAACCCTCAAGTTATAGTAACATGGGTTGATTTGCAGCCTGAGATTACGGTAATTTGGCCTGTTTGTTTCCTGGGGTGTCTGCTCAGAGCCGCACTGACTCTCTGCTCAGTGATTCGTCCTTGAGAAGGAGGTGGGATTTAGAAATGTCTGGACAAGGACAAGAGAGGCTGAACGTCTGGGATCCTTGTCCCCTTCCATCCATGCCACCATGCTACCTTTGGCCCGACAGGGGATGTCCACCACTTTCTCCATCTCCGCTGTGATGTGCCTCTCTGGCTCCTTGACAAACTGAGGTGGTTCTGCAGGAGGAAGGAACAGGGGAGGGGATCAGAGCCATGCTCCTTTTGATCTAGCCACTGTGGGGGTCACCCTTAAGTAGGACCCTAGCCATGCTGCCTCTACCCCTGAGGGGAGCCCCAGAAGCCCCACCCTGTCTCACCGAACACAGAGAGGTAGGCTCCCCGGGCAACAGGGGGGACACTGCTGCTGCGCAGGACGGCCTCACACTCATAGTAGCCGGCATCGCTGCCCGTGGGGTTGGGGATGGTGAGCCGGCGGTTGTAGTCACTGATGCCACCTGACAGCATCACTCCATCTTTCTTCCAAACGATGTGCAGCTTGATCAGGGGCCTGCAGGGACAAGGGAAGGCAGGTGTTCAGCTGCAAGGACTACTGCAGATGTGACAGGCAGGGAGTGGTATGGGGCGCAGGCTTGGGGCTCCAGGCTGCCTGGGTTTGCTCACCTCCCTGCCGCTTTCTAGGTGCATGCTCTTGGGCAAGCTCCTTTAGCACTCTGAGCCTCAGTTTCCTCACCTGTAAAATGGGGGCAACTATGCCTGCCACAGGATTGTTGTGAAGACGAATGCATTGACACAAGCAAAGTGCTTGGAACAGGGTCTAGTGACGCAGGAAAAGTTCAGTGCATGGTGGCTCTGGCAAGGCAGGAAAGAAGAAAGGCCGTGCACCTCTCTCTTCTAATGGCCCCTGTGTGCCATACACCATCCAGCTATAAATCAGGGACTAGGAGGAGTTGAGGGTGAGGGAAAATGACAGGAGACACACCCAATGTTTGGAGACAGGAAACACAGGCAGAGTGACCTCTGCACCCCCCAAACCTGCTGATTGTGGTCTGCCTGGGCACACCTGGGGGTGGACCCCAAACACAGACCTTCCAAAGTGGGTCTGTGCCAGTTCCATGAGGTGTTCAGAGGGGTCCCCTGGAAGAGGAGTTCTGTGGTTGTGCATGTTTGGAAGCGTGGACTGAAGTGAGTTAGGTCTGCACTGCAGGACTTCTCAGGGCTTTTCATGTGCCCGCTTGCACCCTGGAGGCCTTTCCCATACTTGTGAGAAGCACGGTTTCAAGGAGCTTACTTCAGAAACACTGCTACAGGGACATGCTCTCCAGGCATCTGCAGCTCAAGGTGACCTCAGGATCATCGGCCTAACTCCCCTCACATCGCATCAGTGTATCTTTATCAAGCATTTACAGGGTGTCAGGTCAGGCTGGAGTCAGCGCTCTACCTATATCCCTTATGGTGAGGGTGCTTCTCAGAACATTCCCATTTTACAGCTGAGGAGACTGAGGCCCAGAGCATGGCAGTGAGCAGGGGCCTCGGGGCATCTCAACTCTGCTGTTGGCCAGCTGGGTGACGTGGGGCAGGTTTCTTGCCTTCTCTGGGCTTTGAGGTAGTGACACCTATGCCATGTGGTTGTTGTCAGGAGAAAGAAGGTCATGTGGGAAGGCACTTAGCACTGTGTCTGCCCATAACGAGGCTCAGGAATTAGGTTTCCTAAGAGAGAGGAGAGAGCCGTGTGGGCGAGGAAGGGGCTGCGATGGCTCCTGACCCGGGTCTGCCTCCTGCAAAGCCCACACTCGTCACCACCATGGGAACTGTCTCCCACGCATGCTTCCTCTCGCACCCCCTGTGTACAAGGAGGGCTCTGCTTCGAGAGGCGACCTGCTCCTCTCTGGGCTGCTCTAAGTGTCGGAAGCGAGTTGACCCTCCCACCAGCCCCAGGTATCCTGGGCTGACATCTGCTTCCCCATAACTTCCTCCTGGGGCCTGGCTCTCTCTTGCTGGGCCACAGCGAATGAGGTGGCCCTGCTTGTGTACAGCAGCTCCCTGACAACAGGAGGCACGTTCCCCTACCATCCCTCCTCCACTTTCACGGGTCCTCATACAACACGGCTTCCAGACTTTTCTGAACCGTGAGTGCTTCCCTCGGAGCTCAGAGTTGTGGGGGGTAGCAGCTGGAGCTAGGAGTGACAGGGGGCAAGGGAGGGGGCGCCACCCACCTGGCGTTGGCCACACACTCCATGGTCACCTCCGAGGTCCCGGCCACCACGCTGGTGTTCTTGGGAGGGATGATGATGGTGGGTGCAATGGGATCTGCGGGTCCCCCTACATCTGGGAGAGGTCAGGTATTAGTTGGGGGCAGAGGCCAGACACCCCATCTTTGCCTGGCCCCGTTAGAGGCCGATGCCTTGGGAGACATTTGTCCTCACGGCATGGAGCAGGTGGCCACCAGGGCAGCCCCAGATCCAAACCTCGGCACCCTGACCCCAGGACTATTTCATCCTTCCTCTTTCTCTGCTGATGAATCACCACACAAGGGACAGCCTGCTGGAGACACTACCAACCTTGAAGACCTTCCCCACGACTCCTGTAAAGTGACCCATCCTTCTTCCCTCGTCACCTGGTTCTGCTCCTTTGCCTTGC